GAGAGGAACCATGGGTGTGCCTAAAGCTGCAGCTCATGCACCACCCTGCAAATGCTGGAGAATTTAAGGCAGCAGAATTGTTTTTTCTGACCTGACCAGCACTAAGAGTCCTGTGTGTTTGAGGGGAGAAAAGTGCATAAGAGGGTTCTCCACAGTTACTAAATAATAATAACAACTGTTTTTTAAGCTCCTATTTAAACCAAGTCAGTTATTGGGTAAGACCCCTAACTTCCTAAATGTTGAATAATCATCCTTTGCTTTGTCCTTCTCTCTTTACTTATCTTCGCTTATGTACGCACTAATATACACTGCATTTTAACAGTTTCACACACACATCGAAAGCTGCTAATTCTGCCTCCATTGTCACTGTGGACGTGGGAAACCCTGGGAATGTAAATATCCGAGGGTTTTCTTGTCTCCAAGCAACAGAAAAATGTTGTAATGATGAATCAAGCGTCGCATTCATACAGTACAGTATATGCCACCTGCATCTGTGGGAGAAATTAGGCGACATTTTGTGGCCGCAAAACACTAGACCGATTACAATACCTCACAGAGGATACTACAAATCTTAGCTATACCATATGTGCTCATTGTGCTGCCTGTTTGAAAGCCACTGACAGCTCTTCACTTTGACCAAAGGTTGCATTCATGGAAAACTACTGGCTTAATAAGGAATATCTGACCATTTCTGTATCTCTCCGATACTGACAATGAGACATTCACACCCACATTTTTGCCATGGCTGGCCATGCTGTGTGGGGGTGAGCATGCTAGGTTTGAACTTCTCTCCAACAGAACGACACTGCCTCAGAGCCTTGCTGCAATCATGACTAATATTCACACTGGAATGCCTGTTTCGATAAATGAAGTGAATTAAATATCTGACAAATCAAGGTACTTCAATGGACAAAATGCAATACTGCCATAAAGCAATTCTGCTAATTGATTTGCTTACTTCAGTCTCAGGCAAAATGTCTGATAAACCCATTTACATCTGTCATTTCACAGCATGCAACATCATATTGCTCTTGTAGAAGAAAAGTCTACGTTTTCAGGCAGTAACTCTTAACCTCTTAATGTTAAACCCATAACTTGATGGACTTGTCTACCAGGACAATGTCTACCGCATACCCGAAAAGAGAACAGGATGCTGATGCATTAAATTAATTCATTTAAACCTTTATTTATCCAGGATTTTTAAAAAACTCCTAAATAAGAGATTGAATTTCTAGAGGAGTGAGTCAACTCGTGAACCTGCTATGACACCACTGAATATAGAGGTTTCCCTTCCCTGCAGAGGCCTCCATGAGCCAAGGATAGGAAGAGGAAAAGGTAGAGGGGCTGTATGAAGAGAAGCACCAGGCTCTCTGCTCTCCCACGGTGGCTGGCTTTTTTCTAAACTTTACAAGCGCCAGGCGTACATTGTACATATTTCAATTTCATCGTAATTTTCTTTTGAGAAACGGAAGCTTGCACTAAAAGCATCTTTTCTGCATGACTAAGCTCTCTGAAAAAAAGAAAGCAATCTGATAAAAGGGCCCATTTAGTTTGTTCCAAATATATGCCAATCAAGCAATAGCCATTCAAAAAGATCATTATGATGTAAAAAAAATTGTAATGGGGGAGAGGTGGGGGTGTGTACAGTTGGTGAAGCAGTTTTCAGACCTTCCAGAGAAGCACTCAGACAAGCCTCTTTATATCTCTGAGCTGAATGCCTGTCATTACTGGGGACGAAGAATCCAATGGCAACTGCTCTTTAGTGTTTGGTGTGTGCGTGCATGTTACAGACCCTAACTACTATGACTGGTAGGAATGCATCGGGTGTCATATTAGCATGGACCCGTGTATGGTCTTGTGCACCTGACATTAACTGACACACACACACACACACACACACACACAGAAGTTTTAGTGATTTACAACAAAACTAAAATACAGTGCTATACACATCACTTAAAGAAGGCAAGAAACGTTGGCCTTGTAGCAACATTGCTGGTGACTCCCTGCTTCAACTTGTGCCACTACCTTTCTCAGTATGAATATCATACCATACTGCATGCCATGACATTTTCCATCCATCGTCAACCGCTTATCCTGTGTACAGGGTCGTTGGGGGGCTGGAGCCAATCCCAGCTGACATTGGGCGCAAGGCAGGGTACACCCTGGACAGGTCGCCAGTCCATCGCAGGGCGCCATGACATTTTAATAACTTAAATTCCACAGTCCAAATACAAACATATCCTTGATTTGGTGAACACTGTTGAGCATTTAGAAGCTAAAAGGACCAGCTAGGTAGTTATAGCAGGTTTAAATAAAGATAAGCTAATTCAATTCAAACCTTGTCCACTCCAAAATAAAAGCCAAGAGACATTGATTCAAGTTTTATCTGAGAGACAAGAAAAATTGCTCCCCAGACAAAGCCAACGAAATGTTTTTTTAAAATAAATGTACTGCATTTAAGCTTCAACTTCAGAGGGAATATCTTCATGGGAAAGGTATTATCTGCTTCTGACTACTAGGGGTGGGGGGAGAAAAAAAACAAAAAACATAGATACAGCATAGTATCGTGATATTTGCCATGGCAATACTGTATCGATACACGGATGCCAAGTATCGATATTTTATTATATAAATTGCAGATGGGAGTTTTAACTTTTTGGTACTAGAATAATAAAATCTATTGCTTTTTTAGTCCACTAGAAAACTTAACAGGACCATATAGAGGACTGAAAAAGTGATGTGAACAAACAGAGAAATGTATCTTTTTAGATAAACAGATGTTGACAAAGTTAAAGTTACTTAATTGGAAGTTGGAAAAGGGTAATAAATTGCAATATATCTCAATATATTTAAAATCGCAATAAAATCGATTCGCAACATAAATATCGTGATAATATCATATCGTGGGGCCTCTGGTGATTCCCACCCCTACTGACTACCACAGCTCAGCCAGACCATTGTGTTGTGCTGCTGTGTTGTGGAGTGGCTTGGGGTTTATCTGGCTGTCGCATGTCATATGGGACAGAGTGGCGGAAGATTGCTCTGTGAAACAACACGCCCCTCCCTGTACAGTTTCCCTAGTCTCACTCTCTGGCCTGTACTATCATGTGTGCATCTGTATAGCATTCTGCTGACTAGACATTTGACCCAAACATTGCTATATGTTGACACGATCTTTAGTGACCTCTGTGGTGTGAATGGAAGTTCAAGAATAATTTCATATTTTCACATCTCTAACTTTAAAAAAAAGTCTCCTGAAACCATGCAAAGTGATCACATATGGGGAGGAAGGAAGGAAAGAGTGAAATAGAGAGAATGGACTTGAAATGAGGAACACATTTTCAGCTGCACTGCAGTCAAGGGTGTGGGCGTGGGGAGTGGGAGTAAAATAAACACTGCTCTGTATCTGGAGTGAGTGTGTAGTAGTGAAGTGTGCGTGGAGGGTGGCAACATGGAGCCAGACTGACAGAGCTAAGCTCCCTCCTTTGGGAATTTCACTCATTCTAACAGAATTACCAAATCCAGGGAGTTACCATCCCTTAACACACACTCAGACAATTTATCTTGGCAGTTTGGCTGTGCTAATCCTCATACAGTATGAGGGGGAAGGGACTTCACAGTGGAGAAAGAAGCCAGACACAGCAAACAACTTACTAGTTACGTTCTCCAGTTTGGGCCTAAAAACAAACAGTGTAAGACAGTAACACACATTAAACCCTTGTACAAACCTTGCACAGCATGTCACACACTCTCAGGTTATTATCGCTTCTGAATACTCCTACTGACACTCTTGGGACAACTGGGACTGCAACTAACACCTTATTTGATTTTTTTATTCATCTTTTAAATTTTCCATCTACTCTATCCAGTTTAAGTCTATTAAATGTCAGAGAGTGCAGTAGAACGCCCTTTGCAAGCTCCCAGAGCCAATGACATCGTGGACTTGCTAGTACTGCCCAAAACATGAAGATATTCAATTTATCTTTATCAAAAAACAGAAAAAGGACAAAAATCTCACATCTAAAAGCAGCAGCATCTAGATGCAAGAAATATTTGTTAATTGTCCTCAATGAATGATTGAATGGATTTTGGGCCAATCCATTCCACAATTAAGCAGTTTTAGGTAAGCATGATATAGCGTTATTGTATTTGCACTACTAATGTACAGTGTACTACCATGAACTATCGTTATACTGTATACTTGGAGTTCAATGCAATGCAATCATAGACTGTATATAAAGCAATGCAATGTTCAATACATTGCACTGCAAATACAAACCAAGACCTGGCTACTGTGACAACACAATTAATAAAGTACTATCTGAAGGCATGTGGCAAGGCGTTTCCTCTTATAGCCTAACGTTACTGCGAAAAGACAGGACGAAAAGTGATGAGGAAACTACTTTAAAAAATGAACGTGCACAGTTATTATAATGAAGGATATGGTGCCAATCTGGCCAACAGGAAAATGCTCCATCACTACAGAACTGAACACAGCCTAATTTCTCCTAAATTACATCAAAATACGCCCCGACAATGAAACAGACCAACAAAGTGCAGAAACACTAAGTTACATAAAGAAACGTATCGATTTGGGAAGCTAAATAATCCACTAAATAGCCTTGCTACAGTCACTGTGCGCATGTGAAATGCAAACAGTGCAACCACAGGCCTGCTCGGGCAGCAGGCTAACGAGACTTGGTCAAAACACACCGGGCACAATGTGGCTCTGGGCTGTTTTTGTGCGACACATGAACCGTCTGAGCGGAGGCGGAATCAGGCTAAAGCGTAGAAATAGGCTACTCGTTTAACAGTATGAAATTAAAAACGTGCACCGCGACCTCTCTGCAGACTCAAACATATTAGCAAAACAATGAGAGCTCGCGACAGTGAAACACAACGACAAACATTTTTTTAAAAACACACACACGGGCCATGTTGTAGCGGGCAAACACGGCCGCTAAATCACAAAAGCTATGGATTATTTCGGAGCTTACCCTCTCTTTGATGAAATGATGAAATATAAACAGCGCTCGGTGAAAGCTGGACGGTGGTTTTTCACTATTTTTATCCCCGACCCTGGTGATTTCAGAGTGGGTTTATCTCTCTGAGCTTGTCGTCCCTGCGTCGCTCCGCCCATCCACCATCATCCCATTTGGGTGCGGCAAACTGGTTAATCTGCGGCTCACTATTGGCTACCCGCAGGCACGTGACCGCACCGGGGAGAGTGGTTGGAGCACAGGATCTTTGCCCGCCCCGCGAAAAATTACCGTTGTGTGTAATGGTAATTCATGGTTCAGTTTACTGATAAAAACTAGACATGAAGCTGCAAGAGCCTTTTCCAGATTCATATACCTAACCTGGCAGTAATGCACCAATAATCTGAAAGCCCCTATACAAACTGAAAGAAGGAGGTCATCACAATTTCTATATAATCATACCACTGACACCTATATTTTATATCCTAGCTGCAGCATATATTTTAACGTTTAACCTATGATATTGCCTTTTAGCAAAGAGATCTCAGCGTTTTTTTTTCTTCCATCTGCTTGCTCTTGTGCTAGCAGCATATCACTAACCTCTACACCAATAAATTTGGAACATTAACAATTGCCTGAATGTAAAGGAATTAGGCTGCAATTGTAAACTGACCCATTAGCTGGATTAAATTGAACTATAGTTACAAAAAAAACCCCAATTGGGTCCCTTACAATATATTTATTAAAGTTAACAGTAGGACATACCAAAATAGTAAATATAAACAACCCATTACAAGGTACAATATATTATACAAAATATTAATTTATCTCTCACATAGCAACTCTGATACAACAATGATATTAAATTAGTCATGTAGGCTATTTATCGACAATATGGCATGGTTTTTAAAATTATATAGAATAAAAGCATTTCTTTGACCAGTGTGAATGTGCACAACACAATTTGAGATAACAGATCTGCTAAATTGCACAGAACAGAAAAACAAGCTTTATGTGTTGCTTTAGTAAATTTAAGTTATGAGCACTCAGTGTCCATGGAAAATTACACCCTTTTACTCACAACTGAAATGGACTGCCTGAAAGATTAGATTACATATTTAATGCAATAAAGTGACCTGTATTGGTTCTGCATTTAGTAATCCCTTTTTTTTATACCATTTTGTATAACACAGAAGTAACCTAATTGGAGAGGTGATACTAAGGGTACCACTGTACCACTGCTACTCTTGACATGGACGTGGCTATTTGTAGGATGTTAAAGGACAGACCCATTAACCCTAAACCTAATCCTCGCATTGTTTTAACGGCGTCAATACAATTTACTGATAGCAGATTCGCAAACATTGTACAGTAACCTACACACGTAATAAATTAAGGTCCTGCCAGAGGGCGCAGTTAGTCAGTCTATTGGAGGCGTGAGGCGGGATTTCCGGTGATATTTCACAAATCATAACAACTCCATCATGGTCTCTGATGGAACAATTTAAAGATAGGTTGCCGAACCACAGAGACTGTTTATTATAAATGAAGCCGAAACGGCGTAAATATGATGCCGTGTTCGATATTTGTCACTAGATGGTGGTGCTTCGACACATTCGTGTTAGTTAACCTGCTTTATTGCAAAACAATGATGTTGATGATATGAAATAACCAACCTGGCCATAATTTATATTTTACACTATTCGTTTAGGAAAATATCTGGGAAAATAAATAAGCTTAAATTCTCCCAAAATATGTCATTGCATTAACTCTTCAAGGAAAGTGGGAGAGGAAATGTCAAAGAGGAGAGGCCAGGCCAAGGCTGCAACATACAAACTCATAGCACACCAAACGCCTGCCATTCCACTTCTGTAGGCTATGTTGAGTGTGTTGAGTCACACTGGCCCACAGGAAATATTTCTGTTCAATGGGATTTAAGATGGTTGCTCACAAACAGTCTTTGCAGGTGTCTGAAAAAAACAATGCCAACAATATTTCTTGAGCAAACGTCTGTCTTGCAGCTTGTTCTGATATCACTGTTTCTTACATTTCTTCAGTAGCGGAAAAAGGGGAAGACATTTTTGTGAATATCTGATGATTAGTTTATCATTAAGCAACATCACACCATTTCTAAGTGTACAACAACACTGTTTTAACCTATGTTCATATCTGTAAGACCTCACTTCTTCAGAAATGTATATTGAAAAATGTTTTAAATTATCAGCCATAAAAGCCTCTGTGTATTAAAACATAAGCTCTGCAGAGTCTTGTACTAAAAGTCATATAGGTGATCATTTTCCATTTAAACTCCAGAGTTTACTGCATATACTTGTGAGTGGCCATGACTTCTGACTCTTGTGGTGTCAATCCTGTCCCATACCACAACCCACAACACATGCACTCTTCTCTTCACTGATCTCAGACCAGCGCTGGCCCTTCCAGTGTTGTGAATGATTATGGTCTGCCTTGTAGCATGGATACACCAGCTGGGGACTCTAAATATATCCAACTGGTGTTTCTGAAGAGCTTAGGCATGGAGATCATATACTGACACTGGAAATCTACACCTAACTCTATAACTTTCTCCTCTATTGTGTTTGTCTATTCTGATTCGCTGTCCCAGCTATATTTACATTTGGGCATTCATCTGATATTTTGTTTATTTAGAGCTGCATTCAAATAAGCTTCACAGTGTCTTGTCTTTGTTTCCCAGTGTCTGTCTGTCCTTTTAAGTATTAAAACAGTCATTCTTTTAAGTAAATTAACCGCCAACAAGTACAACTTCTGTGTGCATGAAAGAGAGACAATATAAGAAAAGGGGCACAGACAAAAATGACCTACATATAGAAATCAGAAGTACAGAAAATGTATCTATAAAAATGCAGATCTGCCTAAGTGGCCACAAATCATTTGAGCTCCAGTATTACATTTGGGTTTCAGCACACATTCCTCAATCACCTGTTTTCTCTTAGCAGCACATGTCACAGAGTGAGTGAAGATAAACCCAGCTGCTTTACGTATTAATTTCAGGCAGCACTTACCGTCCCCTTTTAACTCCAGCCAGCCTTCAACTCTTAAGCTCAAATCACCAGGGGCTGATATGAAAATAAACAATTTGTAGTATAGCTGATGATGCCTGGGAGTATTGGCATATTTAAGGATACGGCCTAATTCTTCCCCAGATATTATCGACTTATTTCAGTTCAACCGGGCAGGTAAATTTCTCAACATTTGTTGTTCAGTGAACCCACAAAGCAGCCTCAGAGGTAGACTGCAACGCTGTTCTATCTAACACCCGCAGCAATCTGTCTTTTAGTCAAAGATGGTATTGTATTCAGTCCGCAGTGCCATGGAAAGCCCCTCTCCCTCCTCCTCTGCCCTGCACAATGAGACAAGGGTCAGCCTGTCTTTCCTCCACTGTGTTTTTGATTCACTTCTGCACTAGGAAAATGTTGTACAAACTTTGACCTCCAACAGTGACCTTTTAAACCCACTGGCCCCACCCGCAGAGTCCCCTCAGCCAAGGGTTAAGGTAACTGATTCTTAACCAAGGCCGTGGCTAGCTGCCACAAATGACATTGATGTCATGTCCTCGGTCATATTAAATCCATTTTAAATTAATACATTTGTGGGGTTTAAATTAGTGAATGATTTGTATTCACCACCAAATTTACATGTAGTGTAGTGTAGAGAAGGCTTTGACACTTAAAAAAACTCCTAGGCAATGTAGATACAATGCAGATTTTTTAAGTGGAATTTGTACTCATGACTTCAGTATTTCTAAAATCCTGGCTACAGTGACAGTGTGCAGGCACCAGTTAGCAGCTGTCTATTATGGTATTACAGTGGTAGAAGACGTATTTGGGTCATTTACAAGTAATACCACAACGTAAAAATACTTCACAACAAGTGAAAGTCCTGCATTCAAAATTCAATAGAGTAAAAGTACAGCGGTTTTAAATGCAATGCAGAATGGCCGTTTTTAGATTGTTATAATAATATTATTGGACTAATGATACAGATGTAAAAACATCTAAACACTGCTGTGATGTTTTTAATTACTTATAATAATGCATCCTACTTAATATAATCTGATCACATGTTTTGGATGAAATTTTCTGCATTGTAACCATCAACTCAAGCTGTCAATAAACGTAGTGGAGCAAATATTTGCCTCTGTAATGTGGTGGAGTATAGGTGTAAAGAAGTATAACATTGAAATATCCTCTTTTATACCATTTACAAATTTGTCAGTCTTTGTCTTAATTTAAATAACTTTAATCACTTTTTTAAACTAACTTTTTCCCCCCTCTTACAAATTCCTCATTCACTCTTGAACTCTTGAAGAAATACTCAGATCGCATCATTCAGAACATAAAATACCAAAAGTAAAAGTACTCATTATGCAGACAGCCCCATTTCAGATTAATATGATTATAGTTTGTTTAAAATTTCTGAATTTAAGTAATAGTATCTAAAGCTGCTAAATAAATGTAGTGTAGTCAAAAGTAGGCACAAAATTTACCTCTGCAAGTGGAGTAGAAGTATGTAGCCTAACATAAAGAGTAAATGTACTTTAAAATTGTACTTAAGTACAGAGTAATCCACCACTGGCTCTGGGTGTATAAAAACAAAAAAGTCCAGGATGAAGCTGTCTGTAGTTTCTGAAGGAAACCTTGGCCTCTCACCACCACCACCACCTCCCCCTGCACCCTGTACCCTCCCCCTGTCTGTTGATACCGCAGCCCGGAGAGGTTTGAATCCAGTCGGCGGCCATGCTGAGCTGAGAGAGAGAGAGCTGCTGCTGCACCGACGCTCATTTCCGTACCCACCGGGACAAAGAGGAAAACTTCCCCACGGTGAGTTGTACCTGTGCAGACTTTACTCTCTAGATAGCTGTTAAAAGTAACGCGGGGCCTTTTTCTGTTTCAGCTTGCTAAGTTATTTCAGCCTGTGCCCCGCTGGTCGTATTCATGCGTGCTGTCGCGGACTTCAAGCTCAGCTGCACTTGTTGCACTGTGGCTGAAACCCCACTGAGACACAAAAGAAGGAAAACGCAGCGTTATAGTTGCCTTTTTCGGGAGCTCTTCCGCGTTTTGACTGCGCATAAAACTTTTAAATATAATTTACCGCCACATTTCAAAACCTAACTGTAGTAAAAAA